TCCGTCCTCCTGTTGCCGCCAAAGATTCTTGGCCTGCTACTCGCTCTTGTTGTTGTTGTTGTTGTTGTTGTTGTTGCTGTTATTATTGTTGTTGTCGTCGTCATCGTTGTCGTTGTTGTTGCTGTTATTGCTAAGAGGCGGCGTTCAGGTTGGCCGGTTGGGTTTGGTTGCCGCGTTTCAACGTCGGTTTCGCTCGGTGTCGTCTTCTTGTTGCATTCATTCCGCTAGTCGGGCCCCTTCTGGTCCCGGCCACCAATCGAATCGTGTCGTTGGCCTGGTATTTTCCTCCGTACCGACGACCTTGCATCCACGATGATGATGAAACAAGTCGGAATCGCGTTTTCGGATCAACGTGCGCGTCCAAGCATCACACGCGGAGTCGAGCGGATTTGGGATAGGAAAGGTTGAGAAGGGTGGGAACGAGCTTGGCTTTCGACTTGGTGAGGAAGAATTATGCAAGCAGATTGTTAATTAATTAGATTTGTTTAACGGATATTATATATGTTTATAATAAGATAATTTTTCTTTTTTTATATGTTATTAGTCACTAGTTATTAATAATGAAGTTTTAAAATAATATGTATATTTTTTTATCCTTACAGATTCTTTAATTTATAATAAAAACGAGAATCAAATTGAGAAAGTACTAAAATAAAATAAGATTATATTGGCCAATTATATAGAGGATTATATGGAGGAAGACAATAACTGAAAGGAAATGTAAAATATATATTTTGCTAAAAATATTTAAACGTTTTAAACTAAGAATAGAAATGGGAAGTTTAAATAATAATTTATCAAATACAATTATTGAAAAAAGTATCTTCTTTTTACAAAGCTCTGATCATTAATTATTTACAATCAATGATTAATCTCTTCAACTCTTCATTATTGCATAATATTTTAATAAGCTTAAAGCTCGTTACTTCGCGAATCAAAATATTAATTGCACCATTCCCTTTTATAGATTGGAAGGCCTCGATGATGAATAATAGTTATGAATAATTATAATACAAAGAGCACGATTATCAATGATTCATAACACTTTTATCTTCAAATCATTATGACTATTACTGATAAAGATCAATATTAATCACTAGCAATGTTATTAATTGATCCAATTCAGATAACGTTCATTTCACATTTCAACAGATACGAAGGATCTCCACCTATATACAACGTGATTTATTTTATCGTTCATTTTTGAAATTTCGACAATTTTTTGGCAACAAGTGACGATCAACTACAACGATTAACTAACTACAAACACAACAGCATTTGGTACTAACCAATATTACAAATAACCTCATTAAACAAGTTTAAATTTGCTAAAATTAAATAATCACCTGATGAACTCAATTGATTCATTGTTCATATAATACAAATCTTCATTCAATCCAACCTAACCTATATAACAAAACTCTTAATCTTTTTTTAACACAGGAAAAGAGTTGATCCAGGATATCCCATTTTTCTCTATATCTCGAACAAACGAAAACTAACACTTCAACATTTTAAGGAGTGCAAGTACGCTATATATCATACATACATGCACAACAACAGTGAAAATCTGTTCACTTACACAGACATTTGCACAGAAGAGCGTGGCAATCGGGCGGAACGTGTTTCCTCGCGGGGTCCGTGTGGGTGTACACGTGATCTGGGCCCTGTGCTCTGACCCCAACCTTTCGATTTCGTCTCTCTGTCGGCACGGCGTTCACTGTTGCACAGCCGGCCAAAGGGGATCGGCCTTAATGGGGGTAGCCGTGGAATTCCTTCGGCTCGTAACCCGCGATTTGCCGCTCGCGAGGTGGTTGCGTACGTGCGTACGATATAAGAGAGGAGAACGCGGATGAACCTCGACCTTTCGTTCCTCTCTTGTTAACCGCTATGCAACCTCTCTTCCTTTCGCTATCTCTCTCTTTCTTCCTTCTTTATGCTCCATGGAATATTGTCGTCGTTTAACCATCGTGATTTTCTTCAACATTTTTATCGCGTATCGATCATCTCTGATTAAAAGTAGCTTTGGCTCATATAGAGATTGAGATAATCAAATTAATGGAATATATATAATACATATGTCAAAATAATATAACGTTATTTAAATTTTAACAATATTTAATTCATACGTGTTAGAATAAATAAGAGGTAAACAGAAGCATCAGGTTACCATTTTTAATAATTAATTCAATGATAAAATTGAGCTTGTATTTTAGCATATTTGTATGTATACTTTTGTGAAATATACGATGTAGATTACGCGTTTTTAAGGTGAATGGCTGGGAATTTGATCAAAAGCTTCAACACTGTAACAATTTTCTTGATAAATTAATCTGTATTATATGAATCGACCGTTATAAATAATCGAGCCCGGTCATTAACTTAACGAAAATTAACCATAAACCGAATAACCGTATTAAGTTACCGCGAATTAACCAAATTACCATTAACCATTTACTCGCTCCATCAACACGACCCAACCTCGGCCGATACATCACCAACCAAATTGCGCCCATTCCCGAGCACACCTCATCTTCGCGCCAATTTCAAAAAATTTCCCTCCTCGCCAAAAAACCTACAACCTTTTTGCCGTCAAAAAAAAAATTGCCAAGCAAGAGATTACACTTTTGTTTTATCCAAGCGGGACGAGTCCTATCTTTTCCTCTTTTCTATCTATCTTTTTCTTTTTCTCCTCCCTTCTTTATCTCACCTATCCCTTTCGGCGTTCGAATTCCGCGTTTCGTTCGCCCCTGGCCGCCATTTCTTTTACACGCCATCAATAACCGGCAATTACCCCATCACGATTCTGCCCTTGGAACCTCGCTTAATAAATTGCCGACCTCGCTTCCCTCCTATGCCGGTTAATCGAAGGAAAGCTTCGATAATTTCGCGGGAGATTTAAATGAAATTCGAACCGTTAAGTGTCCGGGATTGGATATAAACTGGAGCTGGAAGTAATTCGAAGGCGTATGAATCGGGGAAAAGGTACGACGAGAGAAAGAAAAAAAGAAACAGATTCCAAGACGTGAGATGATTTGTAAAAATAAATATTAACGATGTTAATAATTTAAATCGACGATTACATTTTATTAAGAAGAACGATTTGGCGGGAAATTTGAAAAACGTAATTAACAATTTGAAAATGGATGATGATAGTTTTTAATAGTAAGTAATAATAATTTTTTAATACAATTTTAGTGCAATTTGCGGAAAGAGGATTAAATTTAATGTGTCAATTGTGAAGCTTTTCACAAGCTGCAGAGGCGAAATTAACGTATCCATCTCGATTTCACAGCTTTCGTCGGGGAAAAACTGAGAAAGCGGGATAAATTACGATGTCAACCTTTTTTTCATTCCATCATTTTTCCTTTGTATTATTTAAAACCCGCGCAAATTTTTTTCTAAACTCCCAAAGGAGCTTTCCTGTTGTAGGTACCGTTATCGCCAAATAAGCTAATACCATCTACCCGGTTCTGGGTATCTTTCACAGGTACACCACTCATTCTTTCACGTCCCTAAGGACCTGGGATGTACTGCAAAGAGACGGAGGCACGGCTAGAATAGGTCCTTCACTTCGCTGAAGTTCTACGCACACAACAGTAAACGGTAGATGAGGCAGAACATGGGCTCTATATCGACTTTGATCTACCCAGTCAGGTAGAAATCTCACTCAGGTTCAGGTTAACCGACCTCACCTTGAGGTTCATCCACCTTATATTTTCACGTGTAACGAAAAATGATAAAAGATGGAAAAAAAAAAAATCAATATTTCCTTTTCGACCTACACACGCGTTCGCCATTATTTCACTCCGTCTGATTTTTAAAAGTTTACTGCTTAAAAAAAAATAATCAACTCCATTCTTTTCCTTATTGAAAGAATTTTTCAATTTTTTTCGAAAAATTCGAAGGACGATC